CATTTTGCAAAAAATTAATAAAAAAAAACATTTTTTTAAAGCGAAACTTCAAAACTATTATCAGGTATTCAGAAGATTTAAGAAGTTCTCGAAAGTGCGAAAATGAATTTAAATTTTAGGCCGTCAAACCAAAATGGTGCCATTTTTGGGCACTAATTTGAGAAACAATCGAAAGACAGATAGTTTTAAGCCTCCTGAAAAGTTCGTTTGTTCGTTGAAAAAAAGACAACAAAATCTGGTAAATTTAATTTTGGGTACTTTTTTCAAAAAGGGTACTCAACCATCTCCTTTTCAATTATTGTTGACGTGTACTGAAACATTTTCGCCCTTGTCAGTTTCAGTTTTTATTAAAAATATATATCTGTAGTATTAGGACACCAGAATAGTGAAAACTAAACCTCTCTTTGAATTTTGGGTACTTTTTGAAAATTAAAAACAAACATACTTTGAACTGAGATTTTAATTAGTCATAAAGCAAACCGACTTTGTGCCGAAAACATATCGAAATCGCGTTATGAACGTATGAGTCAAAAGTAGGTCATCTTTGAGTACTTCCTGAGATAAGTTTGCACATATGTATATCCGAAAAATATAAATATTTTTTTAGATTTTGTTGGAAGGCAGAGAATACTCGACAAAATTTATCTTTCATTGTGAAAAACACTTTCAAATTTGTAAAAATAGAAAATGGGGACATTTTTGGGTACTATTTTTAAAACAATTTTTTAGAATATTTTTTGAGACTTTGCATTATATATTATTATATTTATACTGTAGATCGATAATATTTTTACTGTTATAATTATATTTCTTGAAAATGAACATGGGGCCATTTTTGGGTACTTAAATAATAAATTGAATAATCACTTTGTATTACCATAAAGAGTAAATGTAAATGAGAAACCTATATTTCTGTGTTGTGCGAGCTGTCTGTGAGTAACAGGAAAACATGAAATCAGATAGTTGAGGTACTCCCCGAAAAATTAAAATGAAAAAAGAGTTTGTTTCACCAGTCACTTGATCAGTAAAATAAACACTTGTTCACTTTTAAATGTTTTATGCGAATTTGAATACTTGAAGAAAATTTTTATTATTATAAAACTCAAAACGGCCGTTTATGGGTACCCTCTTAAAGAAAGAAAACCACCTAAAATTACAGAAAATGAAAATACTTTTAGACGTTTATTGGTAAATCGCTCTTTTAAACGTGCAAAATAGCACCGAAAAATTGGGGCCGTTTTTTGGGGACTTTCGATTTATTAATTTGAATTTCAGTTTTGTCACTTTTTAGATAAAGTGTGATTACTACATTCAGATTATAAACTTGTCATTGTGGGGACTATCATTAACGCAATTTTTGGGTACTTTTGAAATGAAATTTCGAAAAAATCGTGGAAATTCCTCACCAAATCCATTTCTTCGAGCCACCGCCTCAAAGTTTTTTTTTCCGATCGATAATCTACCACACCACATAATGATCGTTAAAATCAAAACTTTTATATGTATTTTATAAGTTAGAATACTTGACCAAAAATTTGTATTGTTATAAAATTTCAAATGATCATTTTTGGGTACTTTCTGAGGGAAAGAAAACTATACAAAAGTATTTAAATTAAAGTAAGTTAATATATTGATTGCTAAAACGCTCTCCCCTCTATAAAACACAAAAGCCAAATTTGAGCCATCGCAGCAAATTTTCTAGATCATGTGTAACTAACACATTTACACCATAAATTTTACGCAATGGAACCCATATTTGTGGCCATTTTTGGGCATTTTTGAAAAAAATAATCACGAAAATCGCTCGCAAAACCCATTTTTTCGAACTAGCGCATGAAAGTTTATTTTTTCCACTTCATGATCTCCTCCAGTACCACCCAATAATCGTTAAAATCAAAACTTGTGCATTTTTAAATGTTTTGTAGGTCAGGATACTTGACGAAAATTTTTATAGCTATAAAATTTCAAATGATCATTTTTGGGCATTTTCTTAGGGAAAGAAAACCATCTAAAAGTATTAAAAATGAAAGTAAGTTAATATATTGATTGCTAAAGTGCTCTTTGAAAAGTTTCAAAATAACACCAAAGAATTGGGGCCGTTTTTGGGTACTTTCGACTTAGTAATTTTTATTTCAATTTTCGTTACTTTTAGGTTATGTGTGATTAATATATTTTTACTAGAAATTGTTGAATATCGAAGGTGCAGTTGGGGCCATTTTTGGGCACTTTTGAATCGGAACTTAAAAAAGTCTCCCCCAAAAAAACGCAAAAGTCAAAGTTGAGCCATCGCAGCAAATTTTCTAGATCATGTGTAACTAACATATTTACACCATAAATTTTACGTAATGGAACCCATATTTGTGGCCATTTTTTGGGCACTTTTGAAAAAAATAATCACGAAAACGGTCGCAAAACCATTTTTTTCGAACAAGCGAATGAAAGTTTATTTTTTCCACTTCATGATCTCCTCCAGTACCACCTAATAATGGTTAAAATCAAAACTTGTCCATTTTTAAATGTTTTGTAGGTCAGAATACTTGACGAAATTTTTATTGCTATAAAATTTCAAATGATCATTTTTGGGCATTTTCTTAGGGAAAGAAAACCATCCAAAAGTATTAAAAATTAAAGTAAGTTAATATATTGACTGCTAAAATGCTCTTTGAAAAGTTTCAAAATAGCACCGAAGAATTGGGGCCGTTTTTGGGTACTATCGACTTAGTAATTTTTATTTAAATTTTCGTCACTTTTAGGTTATGTGTGATTAATAAATTTTTACTAGAAATTGTTGAATCTCGAAGGTGCAGTTGGGGCTATTTTTGGGCACTTTTGAATCGAAACTTTGAAAAGTCTCCCCCCAAAAAAACGCAAAAGCCAAATTTGAGCCATCGCAGCAAAATTTCTAGATCATGTGTAAACAACATATTGACACCATAAATTTTACGTACTGGAATCCGTATTTGGGGCCATTTTTGGGCATTTTTGAAAAAAATAATAACGAAAATCGCTCGCAAAACCATTTTTTTCGAACCAGCGCATGAAAGTTTATTTTTTCCACTTCATGATCTCCTCCAGTACCACCTAATAATCGTTAAAATCAAAACTTGTCCATTTTTAAATGTTTTATAGATCAGAATACTTGAGGAAAATTTTTATTGCTATAAAATTTCAAATAATCATTTTTGGGCATTTTCTTAAGGAAAGAAAACCATCTAAAAGTATTAAAAATGAAAGCAAGTTGATATATTGATTGCTAAAACGCTCTTTGAAAAGTTTCAAAATAGTACCGAAGAATTGGGGCCGTTTTTAGGTATTATACTAACGACTTAGTAATTTTTATTTAAATATTCGTCACTTTTAGGTTATGTGTGATTAATATATTTTTATTAGAAATTGTTGAATATCGAAGGTGCAGTTGGGGCCATTTTTGGGCACTTTTGAATCGGAACTTTGAAAAGTCCCCCCTCTAAAAAAACGCAAAAGCCAAATTTGAGCCATCGCAGCAAATTTTCTAGATCATGTGTAACTAACACATTTACACTATAAATTATACGTAATGGAACCTATATTTGGGGCCATTTGTGGGCATTTTTGAAAAAAATAATCACGAAAATCGCTCGCAAAACCATTTTTTTCGAACCAGCGCATGAAAGTTTATTTTTTCCACTTCATGATCTCCTCCAGTACCACCTAATAATCGTTAAAATCAAAACTTGTCCATTTTTAAATGTTTTATAGATCAGAATACTTGAGGAAAATTTTTATTGCTATAAAATTTCAAATAATCATTTTTGGGCATTTTCTTAAGGAAAGAAAACCATCTAAAAGTATTAAAAATGAAAGCAAGTTGATATATTGATTGCTAAAACGCTCTTTGAAAAGTTTCAAAATAGCATCGAAGAATTGGGGCCATTTTTGGGTATTATACTAACGACTTAGTAATTTTTATTTCAATTTTCGTCACTCTTAGGTTATATGTGATTAATATATTTTTACTAGAAATTGTTGAATATCGAAGGTGCAGTTGGGGCCATTTTTGGGTACTTTTGAATCGGAACTTTGAAAAGTCTCCCCCCAAAAAAACGCAAAAGCCAAATTTGAGCCATCACAGCAAATTTTCTAGATCATGTGTAACTAACATATTTAGACCATAAATTTTACGTAATGGAACCCATATTTGGGGCCATTTTTGGGCACTTTTGAAAAAAATAATCACGAAAATCGCTCGCAAAACCCATTTTTTTCGAACCAGCGCATGAAAGTTTTTTTTTTCCACTTCATGATCGCTTCCAGTACCACCTAATGATTGTCAAAATCAAAACTTGTCCATTTTTAAATGTTTTGTAGGTCAGAATACTTGATGAAAAGTTTTATTGCTATAAAATTTCAAATGATCATTTTTGGGCATTTTCTTAGGGAAAGAAAACCATCTAAAAGTATTAAAAATAAAAGTAAGTTAATATATTGATTGCTAAAATGCTCTTTGAAAAGTTTCAAAATAGCATTGAAGAATTGGGGCCGTTTTTGGATACTTTTGACTTAGTAATTTTTATTTAAAATATTGTTACTATAAATTGTTCATTACCGAAGCTAAAATTGGGGCCATTTTTGGGCACTTTTGAATCGGAACTTCGAAAAATCTCCCTCCAAAAAACGCAGAACCCATTTTCGGGCCATCGCAGCGAACTTTCTAAATAACGGGCAATTAATATATTTACGCTATAAATTTTATAGGTAAATAAAGCTACATTTGGGGCCATTTTCGGGCACTTTTGAAAAAAAAAATCACGAAAATGTCTCGCAAACCCCATTTTTTTTTGAGCCAGCGCAACAAAGTTATTTTTTTTCGCCTCGTGATCTCCTCCGACACTAACTCGCCTCGAAAAAAATTCCTTGGCACAATAGCCACCCCCTTCCATCCTCCTTCCGACGCAATAAATTCTATTTCGGTCGTGTCGTGCGTGTGCGTGCGAAGCAGACGTGTTCGCTCCGTAGTGCACAGTGCAGATTTGCGCCAGATAACAACAATAATAATAACAGTGTGTATTTTGCACGCAAATGCCACACTCTAGTCACCTTGCAGCAGATTCGGTCGCGACCTCGAAACGCATCGCCGCTAAAAAACCGACACGAATTTCGCGCAATGGACGGATAGTCGACTGCGATCATGCTAATTGCGAGGGAACACACGGTATAACGACAAGTGCAAACAGGAAACGGTGAGTTTCGAAAAAGTGCTGATAAGTTCGGTGAAGTTGGTGAATGTCAAGGTGAGGAGGGACCGCGACGAAACGAGGTAAAGAGGAGGGCTGGGGTCGAGTGGGCCGTGGAGGGTGGCGTGTCGGACGGGCATGGCAGGATCGGGGTGGACGCAGTATTGGTTTAGGGGGGGAGAAGTGATGGTGATGCGGTCGGAGTGGAGAGGTTAGGCACGTGGCGAGGTTTGACTCAATGAAAAGTGATTTATAACTTTGACGCATTTGAAGATTTTCAAAAAATTACCCATAGTTGTAACGTCATTTACGCTACTGTAAAATTGTACCATTTCTGGGTACTTTTACGCCCTTTTTTACTGAACTGCAAATAAACTAGCCGGTTTTATAGAAAGCAGACTTTTGGAAATGAGTGTTATTTAATATTTTGGGATTTTTTTGAAAAATTGGTACCTGACTAAAATTGTATTTAGTGTAGAATTCAAAGAATGTTCTCATTCCGTATTTCTGGTGATTTTCGTTGTACAATAGTCGGTCTAAAATATTTCTACAGTACTTTCCTCACACTCAGCGGTGACCTACTATTTATTAGTCAAGTCATGACGGGTCAGGTCAGGTCAGATCCGGTCCAACTTTATAGAAAATAATTCTACAAAGACAAGCTAAATTATTAAGAAAATTTGTTGTCTGTAATTTGTCCACTTTTATTTTCTATTTTTCTCATATTTCTCATTCTGACCAAGTCGTACTGTTTAAGGTATTTCCGTTTTTGGCTTTAGTCCGTTACTATTTTTGAATATTTTTAGACAATATTTCATAAATCTCAACCGTTTCTTGAGTATCAATCGAAAACTGCTTAGAGTCGGCTTTATTTCTACGAAAATTCCAACAATTTTTCTAGAATCGACAAGATAAAAAAAAATTATAACTGTCCCCTGAATTAAAAAAAAATACAAAACTGGACAATTTTTAAAAAATGTCAATAATTATGATTTTTTTACCGTTTTTGAGCACCATTCGAAAACTACCCAGACTTTTTCTTGTAAATTTCGGCTTTTAGAAGTTTTTTTTTGGGCATCTTTTTTTCGAAAATTTCAACAAATTTTTCAGAAATGATTTTATTTTCAAATCGAATTTTCAGAAAACCTGGGTTAAGAACCAATAGCCCTTTGTATTTTTCGAATCAGCTCTTCAAGATCTATTTCCTAAAATGTTTTGAGATTTTTTTGTCAACTTTTGAAAAATCTCAGTTTTTCAAGGTATGAAATATTGAGTTTTTTGGAAAATTACCTCAAGACATTTTCTTGTAGATTTTGACTTGCAAAATTTATTTTCGGCTTAATTTTTTCAAAAATTCCATCAGCTTTTCCAAAATCGATAAAAAAGTATTTTCGAGACAAAAAAAAATTATTACCAAGCCGAATTTTTGGAAATCCTTGCTCCGGAACCAATCACACTTTATATTTTTGGAATATTTTTTGACAATTTTTCAAAAATCTCAATTTTTCAATGTACGAATTTTTTATACCATTCCAAAATTACCGTAAACCAATTTCTTATAGTTTTCAACTTGTGAAATTTCTTGTCAGCTTCATTTCTTGGAAAATTTCAACATTTCCAGAATTTATAAAAAAGGGTTTTCGAGATAAAAAAAATCATTTCCAAGCCCGATTTTTGAAAATTCTTAGTTCAAGACAAATTACAAAATACGTTTTTCGAACTAGCTCGTCGAGATCTCAGAGTGTTTTAAGGATATTATGTAATTTTTTTCAAAAATCCCAAATTTTCAATGTAGGTATAAATTTTTGGCCATTTTTTTGAGCACCATTCAAAAATTACTTCAAGACATTTTCTTGTAGATTTCGACTTGCAAAGTTTATTTTCGGCTTTATTTCTTCAAAAATTCCATCGACTCCGTCAAAATCGATAAAAAAGTATTTTTGAGATAAAAAAAATCAATACCAAGCCGAATTTTTGGAAATCCTTGCTCCGAAACCAATTACACTTTATGTTTTCCGAATTAGATCCTCGAGATCTATATTCAATTTTTCAATGTACGAATTTTTTATACCATTCCAAAATTACCGTAAACCAATTTCTTACAGTTTTCGACTTGTAAAATTTCTTGTCAGCTTTATTTCTTGGAAAATTTGTACAATGTTTCCAGGATCTATAAAAAAGTGTTTTCGAGATAAAAAAATTCGTTTCCAAGCCCAATTTTTGAAAATTCTTGGTCCAGGATCAATTACAAAATACGTTTTTCGAATTAGCTCGTCGGGATTGATATCTCAGAGTGTTTTAAGGATATTATGTAATTTTTTCAAAAATCTCAAATTTTCAATGTAGGTATAAAGTTTTGGCCATTTTTTTGAGCACCATTCAAAAATTACTTCAAGACATTTTCTTGTAGATTTCGACTTGCAAAGTTTATTTTCGGCTTTATTTCTTCAAAAATTCCATCGACTCCGTCAAAATCGATAAAAAAGTATTTTTGAGATAAAAAAAATCAATACCAAGCCGAATTTTTGGAAATCCTTGCTCCGAAACCAATTACACTTTATGTTTTCCGAATTAGATCCTCGAGATCTATATTCAATTTTTCAATGTACGAATTTTTTATACCATTCCAAAATTACCGTAAACCAATTTCTTACAGTTTTCGACTTGTAAAATTTCTTGTCAGCTTTATTTCTTGGAAAATTTGTACAATGTTTCCAGGATCTATAAAAAAGTGTTTTCGAGATAAAAAAATTCGTTTCCAAGCCCAATTTTTGAAAATTCTTGGTCCAGGATCAATTACAAAATACGTTTTTCGAATTAGCTCGTCGGGATTGATATCTCAGAGTGTTTTAAGGATATTATGTAATTTTTTCAAAAATCTCAAATTTTCAATGTAGGTACAGTAAACCCTCGTTACTTCGAACTCGGTTAAGGCAAACACCTCGTTATTACGAACTGGAAGAGAAGTCCCAAACAGTCCACTTATAAAACGAATGCAACTTAATTCGGTTTACACGAAATTCGGTTAATACGAAACTCGAACAACTTTTTCGGCCCCAAGTTATAATTCTCATATAAAATCACTCGGTTAACGCGAACAAAAAGTGCAAACTCTTTGCATCGTGCTCAAATACGATTTACTTTATCTTAATGGGTATCTAGTAAGCACAACGCAAAAGTATGTCTCTGTGTGGTTTGCCGAGTTGTAATCAGTTTGTTCTTATTGTTCAATGTGCTAACGTCCAAAATAGCATAGCAAAAACTAAAACGGGGCCAAAAATCCATTAATAGTAAAACGAAAATGCAAACTGCAGTAGCTAAAAAGTTCACCATTCCAAAATCTACATAGTCTACCATACTGAAAACCCGATCTCAAATAAAAAAAAATAGTGTTGGGATCATTTGCGTCAAATTTTTTCACAAAGTTGTTTAGGAATTGATCCATGGAATTTTATATGTATGTATGTAGTACTAGTATTATTATGTTCAAAATTTGGTTATGTATTGTTAGCAATCTAATACGAAGAAAATTCAGCTTAATTAAGTTGTTTTTGTTATATTTGTGTTAAAATGTCAAAAAGTGATTTTCGGTTATGGCGAATTCGGTTAACACGAATTGGTCAAGATCATGGTCCCGATGGGTTCGTGTTAACGAGTGTTTACTGTATAAAGTTTTGGCCATTTTTTTGAGCACCATTCAAAAATTACTTCAAGACATTTTCTTGTAGATTTCGACTTGCAAAGTTTATTTTCGGCTTTATTTCTTCAAAAATTCCATCGACTCCGTCAAAATCGATAAAAAAGTATTTTTGAGATAAAAAAAAATCAATACCAAGCCGAATTTTTGGAAATCCTTGCTCCGAAACCAATTACACTTTATGTTTTCCGAATTAGATCCTCGAGATCTATATTCAATTTTTCAATGTACGAATTTTTTATACCATTCCAAAATTACCGTAAACCAATTTCTTACAGTTTTCGACTTGTAAAATTTCTTGTCAACTTTATTTCTTGGAAAATTTGTACAATGTTTCCAGGATATATAAAAAAGGGTTTTCGAGATAAAAAAATTCATTTCCAAGCCCAATTTTTGAAAATTCTTGGTCCAGGACTAATTACAAAATACGTTTTTTGAATTAGCTCGTCGGGATTGATATCTCAGAGTGTTTTAAGGATATTATGTAATTTTTTCAAAAATCCCAAATTTTCAATGTAGGTATAAATTTTTGGCCATTTTTTTGAGCACCATTCAAAAATTACCTCAAGACATTTTCTTGTAGATTTCGACTTGCAAAATTTATTTTCGGCTTTATTTCTTCAAAAATTCCATCCACTTTGTCAAAATCGATAAAAAAGTATTTTTGAGATAAAAAAAAATCAATACCAAGCCAAATTTTTGGAAATCCTTGCTCCGAAACCAATTACACTTTATGTTTTCCGAATTAGATCCTCGAGATCTATATTCAATTTTTCAATGTACGAATTTTTTATACCATTCCAAAATTACCGTAAACCAATTTCTTACATTTTTCGACTTGTAAAATTTCTTGTCAGCTTCATTTCTTGGAAAATTTGAACAATGTCTCCAGGATCTATAAAAAAGTGTTTTCGAGATAAAAAAATTCGTTTCCAAGCCCAATTTTTGAAAATTCTTGGTCCAGGATCAATTACAAAATACGTTTTTCGAATTAGCTCGTCGGGATTGATATCTAAGAGCGTTTTAAGGATATTATGTAATTTTTTCAAAAATCCCAAATTTTCAATGTTGGTATAAATTTTGGGCCATTTTGTGAGCACCATTCAAAAATTACCTCAAGACATTTTCTTGTAGGTTTCGGCTTGCAAAATTTATTTTCGGCTTTATTTCTTCAAAAATTCCATCGGCTTTGTCAAAATCGATAAAAAAGTATTTTTGAGATAAAAAAAATCAATACCAAGCCGAATTTTGGAAATCCTTGCTCCGGAAGCAATTACACTTTATGTTTTCCGAATTAGATCCTCGAGAT